GATAACTGTGTAGTAATCTGTGCGATTGTCCGTATTTTTTCTAGTGAATCACCTGTGCCTTTTAAGTGTATGAAAGCAGAAATTCTGCAAGTGAAGCCCCCCCCTTGCATGGAGTGATAATGAACGTCTCCAATAACTGTGATGAGGCAGAGGAGCACTGCTAGGGGGGGGAAATGTGGCGATCCTAATTGTCTATAATCGCCTGCAATCTACTGTCTATATTTAAAGCAGCTTCTTATCATTGGGACAGTGCTAATGAGGGATTTTACTAGAAGCTTAACAGCAGCTGTCCATTAGTTTCCCTGGGCAAAGGTGACCAATTGTATCCTTACAACCTGTAGGGTTGCCACCTTTCTCACTGGCACTTCTTCTCCACCTTTAATAGCAGGTGGAGCTTCTCTTGTCAGGAAGAGAAAATTATGGGGAAAGCTCCACCCAATACTATTTTTGAAGGTACAGAAACAGTATTGCTGTTTTTAAAGTAGCAGTCCATTCCTCCCTGCCCCCACACATACACACATTTCCCCCCTTCACACAACTGCATTTTAATAAATCAGTCTAACATGATATTTCTTGAAATCTGATTGCAAATGGTGTCTGTGGCTCACAGTGCAGTGCAGAGATTTTTTTTCCCCGGGGCAAGAGAAACTCAGTGGATACTGAGAGACATAATTAGCAGGCAGGTGCTTGAAATCATTTCTGCCATACCAGAATTCTCTGGAGTTACCAATGAAGTACTCAAGGAGTGGAGCTGCCACCTTGTCTTACTTGCCTTTAATGACCAACCTTGCACTAGAATTGCCCATTTTTCAACTGGCCAATGTAGCTGTGCTATGTGTCTGTATGCAAGCTCATTGGGGTCAGAGTCTTTTCTTCACAGTCATTAGCCCAGGAGTTTGTAGGTGGCATCTCCAGAGGTACTTGCAGTGCAAGATCTGCTCAGTGTTTGAAATTGCTCTCTTCCCTCCCTCCCTGCCATCCACTGCCACTCCATTGCCTTTCTGTTCTGAAAGGTGCCCCCCCTTCCTTATACATGCAAACATAGACAATGAAGGACCTTGGCTAGAAAGCCTCGCTTCCTTTTCCGATTCCTGCCTTGCCCTGGGTGAGGAGGCCATTGGTCCACAGAGCTCACCCTAACTGGCAGTGGCTCCCCAAGGTTCTCAGGCAAAGGTTTTCTGTCCTTCTGGCCAACATCCTTTTAATGAAAACATTGAACCAGGGACCTTCAGCACGACAGCACATCCTCCGCCATGGCCTCTCCTCTTCTCTCGCAAAAGAAAATCCAGCGGAACTAACACATTCCATAGAAAATGCCAGTTAAATGCAGCACAGACATAGAGTGGTTTAATGGAAGAAGTGTTTGTGATGCAATTGATGTAGCACGCATACACAGCAGGTTGCCATAGAAACTGCCCGTGTGCTAGATACAGGAGGGCCTCCTAGCCTTCGGAAGATGCTGAGCTGCAATGGCTAGAGCTCTGCCAAATCAGGAAGCATTTCTTGGTTTTATTTAAGCCGAAGAGCGGATTAATTCATACCAGTACTTTGCATTCCTGTTCTCGCCCCCCTCTGTCTTTCACACCAAGTATGTGAAAATAACACAGTGACAGAGGAAGGCAGGGTTGTACTTTACATTATATATAGCATAACTGCATAACCTAGCATATAATATTTTCTAGTTTGTTCTAATTCTGTCTGCTAACTAGCCTGACAGCTTCTTCCTTTTCTGGGTTGCCCCCACTGTGTGAGGAGACACGGCTTTTTTGGTTTGAGCACCCCAACGGGGAGACATTTGGCTATGCTGGAAACATAGTCAAGAGTGCTGCCTATGTGCCAAGCTTTGTCATATCCTGCAATTTTTGGCACAGTAACTGATTTGCTGTTCCACCCTTTTTGAATGTAGGATGATTCTGAAGAGTACAAGGCAGTATACACACTCATACAAAGCAGCCTTATATTTTTATTCTGCTTTCCCACTTGTTTATTAGATCCTCTACTTTTATTGATTGCACTATTTCTATTAGTTTCATTTAAGCCTCCCTAGGCACTTGGCTGGCTGAAAGGCAGAGTAAAAATGTGTGGCAGTAAGTCCCACTGAGTTCAACAGGGCTTTCTCCTGGGTAACTCGGCATAGGATTACACCCTAATAAAGACAAGCAATTACTCTGGTAGCTGGCAGTCTGTTTATGTTCAGACTTTTCTACTATCTTCTAAACAAACTTAAGATGGCAAGTTTTATTTCCTTGTTTTTAATTAGAAAGTATCTCAGTTAAGTTTTCTCTTTTTTAGAACAATACGGATTATTTTCTTGATAAATGGTCCTTTGGGAATAACTGTAAATATCATTTCAGCCAACAGCATATTTGATGTTCAAAACGTAGACATTGCATTATTCTCAGCAAAAAAACCAACACTATTCCTGGTGTTGAGCCAAAGAAATAGATGGGGGATACTGCTGGTGTACAGTTGTCATGGCCAGACTACCTTCTGGTGAGGCTTTGGCCTCATAGTAATAGTTATCTCCTGTGTGAGCTCAATAAGATGATATTGACAAGCTGGAACGTGTATAGAGGAGGGCAGCCAAGATGGCTAAGGGTCTGGAAACCAAGCCTTATGAGGAATGGTTGAGAGAGTTGGGTATGTTTAGCCTAGAGAAGAGGAGACTGAGAGGAGAAAGGTTAGCCATTTTCAAATCTCCCTCGGGAGGTTGTGGACTCTCCTTCCTTGGAGGTTTTTAAGTAGAGTTTGGATGGCAATCTGTCATGGATGTTTTAGCTGAGATTCCTGCTTCATTGTAGGGAATTGGACTAGATGGGTTTGGGAAATGAACTGGCCTCAGTCACCATGGTGGATTGTACTCTTAGTAAGTGCCCAGTGATTACTTTTTTTAAAGTATTTTAGAGTATATTGCGGACATTGGGAAAGCATTGAAGGACAAGCAGTGATGGAGTTGCATGGTTGTCCCTACAGCTGCACTTATTTGGAAGTAAGTTCTGATTACTTTGAATCAGTGGGACCTGCTTGTAAGTATACAAATAAGGTCAGACTATAAATCAATGCAAGAAGTAGACACCAGGATATTAGAATTAGCTGAGTCAACAGCTCAAGTAACAGTTTTACAGGCAGTGTAAAGTGGTTCTGCAGCTGAAGGGATCTGCTTTGACATCTTGATTTGGTAGAAAGTGCTGCCAATTTCCCCGTCTCCCATACCGCCTTTTGTTTTAATGTAAGCAGCAAATAGAGCTTTGTGGGTCCAAAAGCCTTTGATTGCACTCCTTCATGGATGTGACTTGATAGAAGGGGAGGGAGAGTTTTATTTTCCCGTGGCATTGTGCCACTTATTGTTAAAAAATGAAATATATATGAAACACAGCTTTTCAAGAATGAGAGAGAAACAGTGGGTCTCCTAATCCACCTGGATCCTTGCACCCTGACATGAAACTCCTGGTTCACAGTTTCAGAAGAGAGGAGTAAGAATCTACCATTACTTATTGTCAGGATACAGAGGCACATACTCAGGCACAAATGCATTACAGACTCTCCAATTGTCCCTATTTTCCAGGGATGTCCTTGATTTAGAGACCCCATCCATATTTCTCATTTGATCCCAGAATGTCCCACTTTTCCTTAGAATGTCCCTGTTTTCATTGGAGAAATGTTGGAGGTTGTGGAGTTATCTGACCCCTGAGCCATCTGAAGGCAATCCTATATAGGGATTTTTTTTAATGTTTCATGTTTTATTATGTTTTTATATATGTTGGAAGCTGCCCAGAGTGCCTGAGGCAACCCTGTAAGATGTGTGGGTATAAATAGTAAAATTATCATTATGGAATGGAACGTCCCTGTTCTCATCGGAGAAATTTTGGAGGGTATTACCACATAATGTGTAACTTATGTGTTGAGCTTCTTAACTGTGTTCAGCAAGTTATTGTCAGTATCCTAAGTGCACTAAGGGGGCAGCATGCCCTGCTAAAGAGCATGCCCAGTTATTGGGGATTGGGGCTCCAATAACAGTAAATTACAGAGGGGTAGACCTGTGAGCAGCAAAAATAACAGATGTTTTTGTCATTATTGCGGCATGTGCTTTGTGAATCATGAGTTGCATGAAATACTGAGGAGAAAACTTCAAGCATCTGCCAAAGTAGGCTCTAGTCCACAAAAGCTAATGTCACAATAAATCTGTTTTAATGTGCCATAAGACACTGTTGTGTACCAGAGAGAATGTCTGTAGGAAAAGTTTTTTCTTTTCCTTGCATAACAAGCACTCTTGCACAACTTTTAAAGGGACAGTAGGTTTGCTTTGCAGTAGGTTCCCAGTTAAGAGTACACCCATGAAGAAATTAGTCCCTCAAAAAAGGATACCTCCCTTGTACTTTGTGCCTTCTCCCCCACCCCACCCCCCCAAAAAAACAATACCAGCGGCGTAGCGTGGGTTGTCAGCACCCGGGGCAAGGCAAGTAATTTGCGCCCCCTAACCCGGGGCAAGGCAAGTAATTTGCGCCCCCTAACCCAGGGCAAGGCAAGTAATTTGTGCCCCCTAACCCCTAACCTGCCGCCGCTGCCAGCTTCTTCTTGCTGCTGCCTGGGCTGGTCTGGTGTGGTTCTCTCCCGCGCTCAGCGCTGTGCTGGGCGGCCGCTGCACTGTCCCTCCCCCAGATAGTCCCTCGCTCTGTCTCCGCACCACACGCCTGGCACCCACCCCCTCCACAGTGGGCGGCGACCCAGCGGCTCGGATCGGATTCGCACAGCCAGCACTGCAGTGAGAGAGAGTGAGTGAGCCAGGTAGGGGCAGAGAGCTGCGAGTGCGAGCGCCCCCCCCCCCAGATGTTGCGCCCGGTGCGGCCGGCCCCCCCTGCACCCCCCACGCTACGCCACTGAACAATACTAAGAATAGACTGTGCTGTGTGTGCTTTGTGGAGGAAGTGATCCCTTAGATTGTTAGCACTGTGTCTACTCTGCCTCTTTTTAATGTTTCATTTGCTTTGTTTTCTCCTTAGGTCTCAGAATGGGGATGAGAATGGGACTTGGCCAAACAACCAGTTTGATACAGAAATGCTTCAAGCCATGATTCTTGCATCAGCAAATGGTCAGTTGCAGCTAACATGTTCACTAATGTTATTACTTTCAGCTATGCTGGGAGTGAGCGGAGGGTGTGTGTGTGTGTGTGTGTGTGTGTGTGTAGGATATTTAATGTACATGCCTGTAAAAGTTTATACAGAAAGCTTGTACTAAAACAGCTTCAGGGTTATGGCAAGAGAGCCAAGGTTTGCGTGCTTCCTGAATAGCTGTGCCGCTATTTATCACCATACAGAATTCCATGGCAAATGGGCAGCTGGCTGGTTTGCAACTCTTTGTAGATTAAAGGGCTTCTTTGTTCTTAGAAGAACTCTAATCTCTTAGTCAATTAATGTTTGTATACAGGATTTTTTTCTTTAAAAAAAAGCTCAACATAAAAATAGCTGGAGGCGGGTTCCCAAATATTGTTCACATATCTGCCTACACATCTTAAACAGTCCTGGTTAACAGTTGCTCAGGCTGGTTTAGGACACTGACACGAATCTTTGGAATTAAAGCATTTACATTTTAAAACAGAGAGGGTTAGACTGCGGAAGTTCAGTTCAGCCCTGAAATGTGTCTTGGTAAAAATAGCTTTAGGGGGTCCATATGTTCACCACTGTCTCTCAGCAAATCCAGATCCAATTTCCTTGCTTTGCGAATTAAAGGATTGCTTTTGAGCTGTCTTCTGCACAGTTCCAGGGACCAGGAAGTCGGAAGCTGCCCCACAAATTGCAGATTGCCTGATGAGCAGTGGCAGACAAGCCAGAGTTTAACTTTATAAAGAGAATCTCAGACAAAAGTCTCACAATTTATTTTGTTGTTGTTAATGTTTATTTGTCACTTTTCTAACACAGAAGAGTGTCCCAAAGCAACTTAACTGGATAAGACATTAAAACTCTGTATAAAATACAGTCATACCTCGGGTTGAAGTCGCTTCAGGTTAAGCCTTTTCAGGTTGCGCTCCGCGGCGACCCAGAAGTAATGGAGTGTGTTACTTCCGGGTTTCGCTGCTCACGCATGTGCAGATGCTCAAAATGACGTCATGCGCATGTGCAGAAGTGGCGAATCGCAAGACGCACGGACACGGGTTGTGTTTGCTTCAGGATGCGAATGGGGCTCCGGAATGGAACCCGTTTGCATCCAGAGGTACCACTGTACAATACCTTAGCATGCTGACCTATGAATATGAAAGCATCACTTACTACTCTCCCAATTAATAGTCACAGCACTGGGTAAACAAATAGGTTTTAGTCTGGTGCCTAAAAGCAAACAACAGTGGTACCTGGTGAACTTCCCAGGTGAATTTCACAAACACCACCCTCCACACCTCCCTCAGAGAAGGCACACCAAGAAGGACCTCTGTTGAGATTTATGTGGGGTCACATGAGGAGTGGTGGTTCTTGAGGTATTGGGGTCCTGTTGTAAACAAAAATATGCCCTTCTCCCTTATGGGGTATCCAAGAGCCCATATAGAGTCCTTACATAGGTTCCCTATTGGTAGGAGAAAATAACAGAGGCCAACCAGAGAATATTGAGAAGCAAAGCAGCTAGTAAGCTTGATCTTTATTGATCTGTTGCAACAGGGTACTCCCCTCACACGCAGGAGAGGAAGAGGACCCAGAACAATGGCCTGCAAGGGCTTATAAAGACTTTTGAAATTCCCATCCTGTAGATCAAGACCACCCCCAGAAACATCATACATACATCACGTTAGGGGTGCAACCTAAGACCACCCCTCAGATACATCACAAAAAAGGTGGTCTTAAAACAGAAATTTCAATATGGCTGTGTTAGTAAAAGCCAGCACTTTGAATTGAGCCCAGAAACCAATTGGCAGCCCCTGCAGGCCAGAATTGGTGTTATATACTCAGATTGCCTTATCCCAATCAGCAATCTGGCTGCCAGCTTCTGAACTAGCTGCAGTTTCCAAACCATCTTCAAAGGCAGCCCTGTGCATAACACATTAATCTAATTTAGAGGTGGCCAGAGTGTGGATAACAGAAGTTATCACTGTCCAGAGGTTATCACTTGTGCCTCAAGTGACACTAAAAGATCCAGAAGTAGCCCCAAACTGTGTACCTGCTCCTTCAAGGAGGAGTGTTAACCCCATGCAGAACAGACTGAACCCCAGCCATCCGGTTTAGTGAAGCACCCAGTAACAGCACCACAGTCTTATCTAAATCAAGGTTGTTGGCTCCCATCTAATCCATTTATCAGTGCTAGGCACTTGTCTAGCATATCCATCACAACTCCTGCAGCTGCAAAGAGGGAAACAAAGCTGCATATCATCAGCACAGTGCTAGCAATGCACTCCAAAATGCAAAGGGACCTTACTCAGAGGTTTCATGTAGATGCTAAATTGCACAGGGGATACAATTGACCCCTGTGGAACCCCACTTTGGAGGCTCCATGGGGACAAACAACAATCCACAAGCATTCCATTCTGTAAATGCAGCACATTCCCATCCACACTGGATCCAAAACACCACAAAATTAGGCAATCACTTCACAAACTGGCTGTTATCTGAATGTTGAAATCCCTGACAATTGCTTATTTAATTACGTAGTTAAAATTGCAAAATGCACATAAAACTAATACTTCTAAAGACAATGTGTTTTCTGGATCAGGTTATTCAGAGGCTGACCTCAGTGGGACTTACTGTCAAGGAAATGTGCAGAATTGTAGCATGCTTGCAAGTTTTAGATGTGATATCTTGCCTGGGGGTAAATACGGCTAGCTAATCATCACATTTATCCTTGCTGAGCTGACATCTCCAAGTGGCTTGTCCACACGGAGCATTATTTAGCTGTTAATCCACTTTCCCCATGCTCATAGGGCCAGCAGCATTGCCTGTGCCCATGGAGCTAACTCCCACGGGAGCCAAGGCACCCAAAGGTCTCTTTAGCTTCCTCCCACCCAGTGAGACCAGCCAGGAGGAAGTGATCTAGCAGCTGCTTGCTCTGTGGGCAAGTCCAGACACAGACAATGAGGAATAAGTTGTGTAAGGAAAGAACACTGCCAAAGCCTCTCTTCCTTTGGCACCTTAGAGAGGATGGAGGTAAAGGAGCTGCATGTCAGGAGGCAAAGAGCTTTGCTGGGACCAAATGGGGAGCGCCCTGGCAAGGCTGGACAGATCTCCCAGGTGGGCCACCTGTTTTCTACCAGACAGAGCCCACTCTGGATCTACAAAGGGGATCTGGTAGAAAGGGAAACAGAGAAGCTGTAGCAGTTCCTGGGGGGAAAGGCAGGATCTAGCTGCCTGTGCAGCACACACATTTAAGAGATTTCGGTGCCTGCTATTTGCGGAACCTCTCTCCCAAGCCACATAATGGGCTTAGTTCAGCAAAGCACACAAGCAAGCGAGATGCATTCAAGCAATCCTGCTGTTCACGTCAGTGCTTTCTAATGGCCATTTAAGCAGATTTCCCCCATTATTTTTGCCAAATGGAGGTGGGAGGGGTTTATTAAGCATTCCCCTCTTGTCTTGGCTGTAGCCTCTGCAAATCAACACGGATCGTGGTTAACGTCTGCTCCAACAGGCCCTGTTTGCCAAGTCCCTCTGCACAGTCAGGGTTCATCCAGACTTTATTTGGTGCTGGGTTCTAGGCACAGGTCTGGGCTTCAAAGCTCTGTGTCCAAGCAGTTTTGATTTGTTTTTGGTCCTGGTGCTTACCCCACGGAAACCTGCTCTACATCGCTGAATCAGAGCAAAAGGCAATCGGAGTTTCTATGGATTGACATTTAATCTGATTCAGTGGTAAAACGTGGGTTTTCCCCAGGGAAAGCCCCAGGACAAAAAACAAAACAAAACGCTTCTTGGCTACGGAGCTTTAGAGTGCGGACATATGCCTAGAAAGTGCTACACAAAAGAAAGCCTGGATGAGCCCTAAATCACTGTCCTGAGTTTGTAGTCCAGGGAGCGTGGCTTTTAAAAAATAGGTTACTGTGTCTATACATTCACTGGATTTGCTGCTCGCGTTGGCTCCCCCCACCAAAGGCTCTGGAGATCACATCTCTGCCAAGCGACTGATGACTATCCAAATGCTTCCAAATGTATTTGAGTTGCAGCTATTCTGCAGTAACTACAAGCAGATGCATTTGTCTAATAAAACAGTCTGTAATGTTGGGATGTTGTTTTTTTCAAAGGAAAGCTATTTTTGTTGCGCAGTTTTAGCCCAACGTAACGCCAGTACTGAATAGTGGGTGTGAACAGCCATTCAGTCCATGGTGTGAGAATAGTCTCTGTATTTTTATCTTTTAAGGCTATGGGGTTAATCTATTAGTTTCAAATGAAACTGCATTGAAATATTGACAATGCTGATTAAAATGCAGCTGTTTATATTTGACTCAGCTACAAACGCAGATCAATTTTTTATTTTCACCTTATCCTTCAAAAAAATGTGAGGGTGCTGTGAGCTACCCTTCTATGTGCAGGGAGGTTTTGGCAGCAGAGCATTCAAAAAACAAATAAACAATAATGGTTGATTCCCCCATACAGTGGTACCTCGGGTTAAGTACTTAATTCGTTCCGGAGGTCCGTTCTTAACCTGAAGCTGTTCTTAACCTGAAGCACCACTTTAGCTAATGGGGCCTCCTGCTGCTGCCGCTGCACAATTTCTGTTCTCATCCTGAAGCAAAGTTCTTAACCCGAGGTACTATTTCTGGGTTAGTGGAGTCTGTAACCTGAAGTGTATATAACCTGAAGCGCATGTAACCCGAGGTACCACTGTATTTTGAAAATACAAAAATCTGAAGTGGCTGCTACATTTTATATTTACAAAATATGGGGGGGGGGCAGCTATGGTTGTTTTCTTGTCCCAGTAGCTGTTGGTGCAACCTGAAATCTGTTTTGCACCCAACGGAGACTAATCTAAACACTCCCTGTACTCAAAAGTAGCATTTTTGTTTATCCTAAGAAAACTAATGTACTGTGGATGATATCCAGCTAAGACAGGGTAGATCCATTAAAATCAATAGACCTAGTTAATCCACTGATTTCACTGAGTCTAATCTGAGAATGACTAATGTTGGCTATCACCCTTTCCTTACAAGCGTTGTGCAGGATCCCATCATCTTCTAAGCCAGTGTTTGTCACACAGTGGCCCTTGGGCCACCTTCGGGGGCCTCATTGCCACAGTCTGCCCTGGCCCCTAGCCATGTCACAGCCTTTGGGGCTGGACCAACACCTCCATTCCTGCTGAGTAAAGGTGACCAGGAGACAAAGAAATTGGAGAGGGAGAGCAGGGAGGAGAGGAGGAAGGTTTCCTTCCTCTGAAGGGAAAAGGCTAGAGGAGGTGTTGAATGAAATTAGAAAGCAAGATAACTGGGAATAGAAAGGAGGAAAAAGGAAAGAAACTGGCAAGGGAAGAGGGGAGAGTTAAGTTGCAAGTTGTCTGTGAAAGGAGAATGGTAGATGAAATTAGGGGAGATGGGTGGGAAGGAATATATATAAAAGCAAAGCCTTCTCCACCTAGAGCCTCTGGATCAGCAAATTCTAGCTAAAATGGGGAGGTTGAGTCATAATACCTCCAGTGTCAGTCCTTAGCCTGAGCAGAGCTGAGTCTTGAAGCATCTTGCCACAAGGAAAGGGCTTTGGTAAAGAATCTAGCAGTTTCCAAAGATGGATAAGATATGAGTAGAAAATATCAATCTCTGCCCTCATCTGCCACCACATTCTGACTGGCTCTGCCTGTACTGCCATTTTGTGACTGGTGGGCCTCAGTTATTTCCAGCCATCTCAAGGGGGTCCTGGGCACAAAAAGCGTGAGAAGCCTTGTTTTAATCCATTTCTATGGTCACTTGGAAAAACTGTGCTTAACTACAAAGACTGGGGTGACATCCATCATTAGCCATATTCAGAGGTCATTCATAGATTGCATGTTTAATGAAGCACAATGGAATGGTCAATCCATGTTTCTCTTTTTAGTAAGTCTCCTCCTCATCCATTAGCATGGTTGTTGAGAGAGAGAGAGAGAGAGAGAGAGAGAGCTCTGTGAGAAACTATTATTTGCAAAGGTTCTGAAGAGCCTAGGAATCTCTTCAATTAGTTTTAAAAACGAGTTCTTTTGAAGCATCAAAGAGAAACCCTCTAGGCCCATATCCTAGGGCAGGGGTCTGCAACCCGCAGCTCCGGAGCCGCATGTGGCTCTTTTACACCTTTGCCGCGGCTCCAGGGCGGATACTAGCGAGGGGAGGAGGCGCATTGTGCGCCCCGACACTCCCCACTGTGGCGGGCACTGTACTGGCTGTGACGTCACATGGGGGCGATGTGTGTGTTAATCATGCACCGTCCCAACGTCACCTTCCCGCCCGCCCACCTGCCCGCTACATTGTAAGGGGCATGTACGATGGTCACTGCATTGAAAGGGGGCATGTATGCTGGTCACTGTTTTGAAGGGGAGTGAAGAACACACACACAAAAAAGGTAACTTGTTAATTTAACGTTTATTTCTATGAGGAGGAGTAATTCTGAGGGGTCAAACAAAGAAATAATAATAAAAAGTGACAAAAAAGTTATTTTTATAATGACGAGTTTTGCGGCTCCCAGTTTTCTTCTTCTTCGGTAACGGGTCCAAGTGGCTCTTTTTGTCTTAAAGGTTGCAGACCCCTGTCCTAGGGCAGGCAGATAGGGAAGTACAGCACAGATTAGAATTAAAGCACCGTAGAAAATTAGAAATTCCAAAGGGCCTAATTTTTACATCCTGAGTAGATATTTTAGAGATAGATTATTTATTTGGTTGGTTAAAGAAAAAAAAAGAACTTTAAGAGGATGTAAGCAGATGAGCTAAGATTGCATGGGGCAGATGGGAGAGAACCTGGCTTCTGTGCACATAGGAGAATTGCATTCTGTGATAAAAGGAAACTGCCTGGTGGAATGTTGCTGCATGGATTTTTAGACACCACCTGTCTGCAGGCCCCAGCAGGTCTCCCTGAGCTGAACTGTCTGCTGTTAAATAAAGGTCCGAGCATTTGTGGTGGTCAAAGCTCAGGCAACAGACATAAGTGTCCATAGCGCCAGTGATAAGCCCTTGAGCTCTCTGGGCAGGTTCTGTTTCGGAAACAAGCAGAGACACAAGCTCATTTATTTTTGCTTGTTCTAAGATTTGCTTTCCTAGCCTCCTGTTGGCCATAAGAGGTGAGACACAAAAATTCAGGTCAATGTGAGCATGAAATAAATCAGAGTCTACCTGGGAGGAGGAGGAGGAGGAGGAAGACTTCTTAACCCTTTCATCTGCTCTAAATCGCTTCCCTAGTCTTCTGCTCCACAGCTTCTCAGGCTGTTTCTCCCCACAGGGAACCACAGGAGGAAGAGAGGCCACGACTTGCTCCCAATAGGGGAGGAAGGCAGCTTGAGTAAAGGATTAGGCAGTCCCTTTCCCCTTGGGACCCTGCCTGTGGTCCTCTCAAGATTTTAGCCTCTCACAGGTGCTTTCCCTTCAAATCAAACTGTTGTATGAAAAAAGATCTGCAACTGTAGGAGTATAGAAAGCAGTCAGCGTAAAAACCAGAACAAGAAGCTAAGACGCTGCAAACAAGAAAACAAAAGAAAGTTAAGTTTTCAAAGTGCCCCATAAAAGTTTATTGTGATGATTGATTCTCAGCACATTTCTGAAAAAGTTTGCATATTGTTAGGGGCATTTTTTTTTTTTTGGAACACTGGTGAAACATAATGTTGAGGCCAAATGCAGCTTATTAGAAAGTTGGAGTGTATATGTGCATAATATGCATATAAGATACATTCAGTTGGCTCATATTTTTAAGCAGAACTGTGGGGGAAGCTGGTTTCCCATTGAGATTAAGGAGGGAAACAAGAAATTGGGGGGGGGACCTGTGCATATTGAAAATCAAGACTCCATCCATACCCAAGGTCCACCAACTGAAGCCAGGCGCAACAGGGATTTATGGAAAGGAGCTACATAGAATTAAGAAATAGAGCCTCTCTTAGCATGGTCATCTCAGGAGTATTATTATTTTTTTCATACCAGAACTGAGCTCACTGTCACAGAAAAATCTACTCTGGGTCCTGCTCTACCTAAACATTCTTCCCCTTCGCAGCCAAATTGAGAAAGAAAACAACAGCTGCTTATTAAACAATTGGGAGTCAGGAACCCTCCCCAGACAATCTACTGCAAATAACCCAAAGGTCTGCCAGTAGATCTTGACATACCTTCTGCCCACCTCAGAGCTAGAGCAAGGCTAGGCAGAAGGCGAATGGTGAGTGACTGGCAGAGTTACTGCAGACCCTCTGTTGCCTGGTAGTTGCTGGACTTACATTGGTCTTGGTCTGGTACAGCAAAGCACTTCTCATGTTCTTAAGCAAGAGGGCAGAGAGGGGTTCAATCGTGCGATTGGTACAGACTGATCACTCAATATTTTTTAACAGTTAAAGTATATGTGCTCTCTTTCTTTATAAATTTAATCTTCTGTGTGGGGCAACTGACGTTTGACTTAATAAATAAATTAACCGAAGACCATACAAAACTAGAGTCTGCCATTCCATGCACTTGGATGTTATTCTGGCAGCCGGCTGCTATTTTTCATTTGAGGAGCCTGCTGTGCATAATAATCAAAGCCCATCTCATGCCAGAGGGCAGAAAAGCTTTATCAGGGCAGCTCAATTGGACGGTCTTTTCTCATTCGAGTTCCTCAGTCAAATTACAGCACAGAAGTGGGTTGGTAGGTCACTAAGAAGACAGCGGAGAAGACAGATTGTCCTTTCCCGTTTTAAAAACACAACATGTTTAGGGGTATGTGTACCCCTGCATCCCCCCAGAAAAAAGCACTATTTTAAACCCATTATTAAAAACCCATGCATAACTGCTAACTCCTGGACAGAATGTCTCTCCTCTAGCCAAAATCAAAATAGTTAAGTCCATTGGCACAATTTTAATACCTCTTCCTGTTCCTCCTTGCTCTATTGTTGCTACACATTCAGTATTTTCATAGATTCTTCATATTTTGGGAAGTCAAATAAAAAGGAAGCTCCAGAAATAAGCATGGCACAAAGAAGTCCATAGAAGGGTATACAGGCAAATGTATTCATCATCAACAAAAGCTGAGTTTCAGGCCACAGATGGCTCATCTTCAGTGAATCTAAAATAAGTAGAAGCATTTGTATTTTGTAAAATACAAATATGTCATTGTTTACTGTAAAAGGAGTGTTTATCTCTCATTAAAGCCAACTGTTAAAAAATGGAAAACTTAAGTCTATAGTGCAAAAATTACAGGGACACACCCCTGACCCACACGCCTGCACACACGCACCACTGCTGCAGTAACACAGCCGATTACAATGCAAGGCATACAAATGAGAGGTCACAGAAGACACACAACACAGCACCCATGTGGCTCCCTGGCCATGCGGTTCCCTGCAAAAAGCACACAGCCTTTTTGGGATGAGGGTTTAACACCCACCTTTTTGCCAAGCAGCCCAGGCATGCAACAAGGGCATAGTAAGATTGCTCCTAAGAGCTCTGAGTGTGCTAGCAAGCCTCTATTTGTTCTTGCCTAGAGTTTTCCCTTCCTCTCCTCTGGGCTTCAGGGAAAAGCAGGGATTTATTTTTGCCGGACTACAGGATGCCACTTCTTCAAACCAGAGCTCTCTGCCTTATCACTCCCAAGCCTTGTGCACATGCCAAAGAGCTTGCTGTTCATAAGAATTCTGGGGGTGGGGAGGTGGGCTGAGTGCATCTTCCCTAGATGATGTGTAGTCGAGACCCTAAATTATACATTTACATCTAGCAACGACTATGCTAAGAATTCGCCCTTCTGACTTTTCTCCCCCTTCCAATCTCCTTCTCTCAATCCCCCTCCCTGTGGTGCTGTAGAAGCCGCTGCCGCCGCCGCTGCAAATCCTGATGGGAATTCTACTCTGGGAGGAGGAGCAACAGCAGCAGGCACAATGGGCCTCAGCACCAGGTATGGCCCCCAGTTCACCCTGCAGCACGTCCCTGACTACAGACAGAACGTGTACATCCCTGGCAGCACAGCCACTCTCTCCAATTCTGCAGCCAAGCGGGATGGGAAACCTGCGGCCTCCGGAGGTGGAAACAAGAAGAAGTCAGGGAAGAAGGAGAAGAAGTAAGATTCGCAGGATGACACATCGCTGCCACCTTAGATCTAAAGGGCAGACTCTTCCAGCATTCCCCCAATTCATAGCCTAGGATGGAGGATGAATGTGAATTTGTGGTTAAACATTTTAAAAAAATAAAAAAGTGTGGAACATGGCGAATGTACATTGCTGTCATCAGAGCTAGGAGAAAGTCTCCTACTGTTAGTCCTCCTGATGTAAAAGTATCTGGAAACAAAACAAAACAAAAAAAGCCCTGTGGATAGTGATGAATTATAGCTTATACTCTCATGCGGATGATCTAATATGCAAGGGTGTCAGATCTTTGGAATATTTTTCTCTCCCATTGCTTTGCTCCAGAGGGATCTGCACAACATACAAGGCTTGGGGTGGGCCCTGTCCATTGTAAATAATTCTTCTAAACAGGGGTTTTGATTTATACATCTTTCCATTTAAAGAACATTCTCACTTCCCCCAAATTTTGATGAATGCTTTCTGTCCCCACAAAAATATCTCGGTTGGAATCCTTGTTATGAAATTGATGAGGGGATGCTATAGTTTCTGCTTTTTTTATTTTAAAACAGTGTCCATCCTGCATTATTAGAAGGGAATGAGTTTCAACAGAATTTTTAAAAGTTAACCAATGATGGTTGAAAAAATAAAACTGAAATGGTTATACCTAAGAGGCAAGGCGCACAAACACATTGCTATGGGAAGCCTCCCAGAGGCAGAGAATGCCTCACATGGTAGGAAGATGGAGAATTTTGCCTGTGTTGATTGATTTACAGTGGCCTCTGAAGAGACAACACATCTCATCTACACTTTGATCCATAAATATTTATGTGTACAGTAATTGTTTTCTGGAATAAGTTTAAGGAAGTCAAAGTCAATCGCTTGTGAGTATAGTGAGCTGCCGCTCCTCCTTTAAGCACTGAAATAGCTCTGTTAGTTCCACAGGCAGACGCCTTCTGTCAGTGAATGGGCTCTGGTGGCCTTGTAGGTAGAGAATTAAAACAAAAATGGAATGCTTCATATTTTCTGCACATCGAGCTGCATGCAAAACATTCACTTCACATCTACAGTAGGCCAGCTGCCGCCTCCCAACCTAGAATAGAGAAGTCATTGCATGCCATATACAGCATGATGTAAATATGCTGTGAAGTGCCCACATCCTGGTGGAACCTGAGCATTGTCTGTCTGTGAGTAGAGTTCAGTAACAAGATGCATTGCCCTGGATCAGAGCAGTAGGAAAGTTTCCACACGCCTAGGCAAGCACAGCTAAGGAAGGCCCTTGGTTTGCTGGCCTTCTTCACATGCTGATATTAAGCGAACAACAATTGGTCTGAGGACGCATGGGGCCAGGCACAGATCAGGGATCTGGGCAGGGATTTCTGATACCAAGCCCCCAAGGCCAAGTTCTGAACGTTAGAGAAGTGAGTAACCATTGGTGCACTGAAGGTCCTTGGGACCTCTGCTATCACCCCCACTTGGATATAAATCCACTGGATTTAAAGTGAATAGTCATAAATCCCTTCGCTGTGTTTCGAAATGACTTGTTTTAGGGTTTTTAGCCACATTGTTTCATAGCCTAGTATGGAGAGGAAGTGAGCGTTTCCCGCTCCATTTTATCGGCTTGTGTTCTCATCTCTTTCCTCGCTCAAGTGCAGCACAGACTAGCAGGGAGCTTCGGCCTGCTGCTGGCAAACTCAGGTTGCCTTTCTATAGAGGCACTGACCAGCCGAGGGCAGAGAAGCAGCATATTTCCAACATGGAGGGCTAATCACTAGGCCAGAAATATATTACTCTTTCTTAAACCTTTGATAAGGAGCTTGTCTGAGATGGTCTGGCCTTCTATGAGCACCTCAGGTTAAACATCTGACGACTTTTCAAAACATTGCGGACCACTCTCATTGGCTGTGTAGTCTTGCACTGCTAGAGCGTATCTGCTGCCTCCTGTGTGTCTAGAAAGCGGGATTTGTCTGTGGGAAGAAACTTCAGTCTATGTATGGTTTTTGTACTGATCCCAGTCACCCACCCACCCCTTGTGTTTGGTGACTGCACTAGAAACAGTTTACATAGTTAGTTAAAACAGAGCGCAATCCATTGGGAAGTTCTCCTGCACAAGCTTGGCTGGAATCATCAGAAGCCACACAAGCGCATGGCAATTCTGTCCTGTAGCCTCTTTCCATCTTAACGGGGCTGATGCAGGTGAGCTTCCCCACAGGATTGGGCCTGGGGCTTATTATGTACTGAAGTAGTTATTATGTGACTCTTCTCAAAGTACTGTAGATTAATCTTAGTCATTCTCTTTTTCCTTTTAATCAATAAGCTGAAAGTAGTGTAGTAGTGCTGAAAACCTAGTGATGTGTAGATTTCTTTCTTCTTTTTTAATCTTAGTAATTGAGTTGTGGACATCAGTATTTTTTTTATTCCTTTGTATCTTCTTTACGTGTGCTCTTTGTGCTTTTAAATGTATGTGAATTGAAACACACTTACTGTCCTTTCAATGTGTCTAATATTGAACTATACTTATATATTATATATATGCTTATATCCTTCTTATATCCATATAGACTGACGTCAATGTGTTACACGCAAGTTTTATACTCTAATATTTATATTGCTCTTTTTTCTTTGGGGAAAATAATAAAATCTTTTCTGCTGATGCGTTTGTTGTGATTGCTTCTGAAGGACGAAAAGGAGGGGAGAGCAAGATTATGGGAGTGCTAGACTGGAAACCCCACCCCAAAGTATTGAAGGCAATGTGGCAGAGACAACAATGCCAGGCTTCTCTCCAGCAGCGCCCCTGGTAGACAGCTTTTGCTGGCTTTTGCAGTGTTCCGAATCTTTCAAACATGGAAACCTATTTTCTTTACCAAGAAACTGCTGCTGCTGCTGCTGCTGCTGCTGCTGCTAACAGATGAGAACTTGCCTCTGGGAGGGAGAGAGTAATGGGCACCTGGTTTAACCTATACATTAGCCATTGGGAGTGGAACCCATTCTGACTGGACCATCTGGCTCTTTTGCATTTGTGCTCTGAATAATAGATAAATAGGGCACACCTGCAGCACTGTCTCCCCCAGCTATCAGTGATCTTGATCTGTTTCCACAGAAAACAAGAAAGCCAGACTTAAGCCTGTGGTAAACAATTCATGGACAATGTAAAGCAGGTGTAAATAATGCAGAGAGATGTGTCATATGCCCACTAGGGATGACTGGCATGATGCCACCCCAGTGGTAAGGGCAAGGGGAAAAGAGAAGGCACAAGAACCCAGCCCCTTGGGAAATAGGGAACTTCCCTAGTCCCTGTGAAGGGATTTGTTGCAGGCTCTACGACCCAGCTTTCCTCATTTCCTGTCTTAGGTGCTTTTCCAATTAGTGCCACCATGCTGATTCCCTTTAGAACCTCCTTGTGGTATTCATGGGGCTACAGAGAACACAAACACCTTGCCCAAGGAGAGAATAGGGATAGACAATGTGACTAAACCAATCTCTCTCCAACAAACAGGGATGGAAGGGATGCATGTCTGTGTGCAAGAAAGATGACAGAAAAGGAAATGAAGCCCCCTCTAGAAATACCACGCTGAGCCTTAGGCCTAGCCCTCGATTAGGCAGGAGGTGCTTGGTGTGTACCAATTAAGAGGGCGGGTGAAGATTCACATGATTGACTGCTTCTCTATATTGCAAGGAAGGGGGAACTTTTCATTAAAAAAAATAAATAATGGCTGGGAGAATATTCTAGTGTAGCTTCGTCATAAAACTGGCCAGTTTTATTTGTTACGGACATTGTAGAAGCATTCCTGAATGCCCTTAGCTACATTCTGAGGTGGTACAGTGCAGGCACAAATTACCTCAGCAGAAATGTTTGCTTGTTTTGAACACTTATATCCTGCCTTTCCGCCACTCAGTTGAAGAAGGCATACATACCCATAACAACTCTGTGAGGTACATTAAGTGGGAAGAGTGACTGGCCCACGGTCCACCCAGTGGGGACATGAACCCGGGTCTCTCCAGTCCTGCAACATTATAGCAGGACTTCCTTTCTTGGACAGCTTTCATTTTTGGTCAGAGTGCTGGGTTGCTTGGAACTAGCCTGCCAAACTTGGTGGACTGCGTGGGAGGAGAAGGAAGGTGATCCATCTGGGCAAAGCCTGTGCTTCTTTCTAAGAAATAAGACTGTCAACTTACGTTTCTTTGACTTACCCTGTTCCTGTGCCTCACACATAGACACTAAGCAGCCAAGGTCTTTCCTGACATGGAAATAAGGTCCTGAGAAAAGTGTCACCTACTAAACTTCCCTATGCCAGCTTCTGTAAAGAAAACTGCAGGAGCAGGGCGCATTGTTCACAAGGGTGGTCCATCCAAAATACTGAGGCAAGGAAGCCTAAGAGGGTACGAAGGGGGTGCAGAACAGCCAGCGCTTAAATATAGATAGTATGGCCTAATGGGTCTAAAATTATTTCACTGGAAATTTAATCATGACTACTTGCATCCTATGCATATTTAGAGTGTTATGCACATTTAACTTGGAGTAAGTTCAACTGAATTCAATAGGACTTAATACTGAACAAACGTAGGGTTGTGCTGCCAGTCAATTAAGCAAATGATTAAATTTGCATGAGAGTGAAACCAGTATTTCCACAACAAAAACTGCATTAATTGCTTTTAGGTGATGTGTACCAGGCATTGCCAGCTTTGAGGAAGCATTCCCACTCTTGTTTGAGGGCAATTGTTGTTTGAGGGCAACGTGATGTGGACTTTGCAAATGAAATGGGAACACACCCTACACTCTGGTGAGCATAAGCCCCATGTCTATTCCCGCAGTTCCTTCACATGAAAAGCTTCCAAAATGCACAGTACTGAATGTTTCCTCGCCTTGTCTCTGGCTGGAGCCATCCTGGGCAATCTGCAGATGTCAGGAGTGCTACAGGAAGGGGGGCTTGCACCTAAAAGAAGTGGGAGGGGCCTGTGGGGCTAATTACGGTAAAGACTCAGGTCAGACGTCACACAAAACCACAACTCTGAGATTCTCAATGTACAATCAGCTAATCATGGGGTGGAGAGCATCCAGCCCACAGACCAAATTTAGGTCTAAACTTCAGATCTTTTCGTTTTTGCTTTGTTTACTTGGCCACTAAATGCTGAGGCCCCCGGGTGTAGAAGCAGTTTGTCAATTTAGACACCATGCTAGGCCAACCATGATTATTTATATTTGCAATATTTTAAGCTACATATATATATAAAACAGTTGGCTAACAGCATCTGTTGTTTTTAATGGGAAAAGAAACAGCAGCACCTAAACATGGTCATGGGGGGAGGTATTAATGATCCACTGAAAGACAAGCAGCAACAGGACGAGAAAAGCTTGGTGCCTCCTTGCCATCACAGAAGAGGCCCTGTCAGTCACCATGCCGGCCTGTAGTACTTCTGGTGGTAGCAGAAGTATATGAAGCAGAGGCCACCATGAATATCTTCAGGGTCAGGCAGTTCCATAATACAGAGTCTGCAAACCCATTTCACAGTACGGCTTCTGATTCTGTTCTACAAACTGATCTTCAATCACTGTGAGTCTGGATATTGCAAAGGCCTCCCTTGGCCTCTGGTCCATAAGCAATGGGATTTTTGCATCTGTGGAAGGTTTATACATATGAAATTGGCATGCCCAATAACTAAGCCATCTAGCATAGATAGCTTTTTGCTATGGCAAAGCTCCACTAAGATGGCAGCAATACTGTCTTTATTTTTCAGTACCAACCTCAACCACATAGAAAGAGCTCAGTGGTGGTGAGTAGGAAACCCCCTCCCTGTTGTGTTATTGTTCTGTTTACTTATTTGGTCCATTTATTATCTACATAACAACGAAAATCAGCACAAATAATTAAAAATACATACAAACGCTTACTGCTAAGTGCTGCCTTTACTCAGCGGAAGCCCATCCCGTTTTGCTGCCTGAGGCAAAATTGGGAAAGTGACCCCCTGTGCAGTGTGTGCCCACCCCTTGCCACCCCTGCTGAAGCCTTGCTTCCTGGGGTCACGCGGCAGCGGTGGCAGGTTCCAAGTTCTGGTGACATCTTGCACCACCTTTGCAAGGTCCTGGAAGCCACTGCCATTTGTCCCCACTTCTTTGACGTCAGTGGCTGCGTCCCTTGGATTTTGCTGCCCAAGGTAGCTGTCTGAGTCTGCCCCACAGACCGCCAGGTCTTTACTCCTAGTTTGGTCCTTTATCAAGCTAGTCCTAAAGAAGCGGGGGAGGGGAACTGCCTGTCAGCACCATCTTAATTCATAAAATGTCAGACATGCACCAGGTGCTAGCTTCCCTGCAGGCCTCCAGCCTCCCTCCACCATTTCCTCAAACTATTCCCCCCACCCTCCAAAAAACCCCAGCAGGCTAAGCTCCCGGGCGGCTGGTTCCCTTCGCTCTTGCCTAGCGCCTTTCAGCAGAAGGCCTTTGCTTAGGACAGTCCAAAAAGAGGCAGGGAGCATAATGGGGGCGGGCGCCAAAGAGAAGACCCCGTCCCTCGCCCCTTCCAGGAATGCCATTTGCCGATAGCAGCAAAGGAAGCAAAAGGAAAACAGGTAAGATTAATGGTGGGGGGGCGGAGTGAAGGAGCACAAGAAGCCAGAGGTGCCAACTTGAATAAAATATTGGGGGGAGGCAAGCCCCGCCCCGCATAATTCCTCACTCTCCCCTTGTCCGCAGGCTTCCTCGAGGCTCAGCCCCAAGAGGCCGCGGGAAGGCTCGCTGGGTGCGGAGCGAGGGCACCCCAGGGTGCCGGGTCGGGGCAGAGAGGAAAGCCGTCCGGCATCTCGCGTCGCCATGGAGAGATCTCAAGCCGGAGTCCCTTGCAGCCTCCTCGGGAGGAGAGGTGCTGGGCGGCGGCTGGAGGGGCCCCGGGATACAACGCTCCTCTTCCAGGGCATTGGGCCGGCAGCGTGCGCCGCGGTCTGCGCCTTGGGCGCCGAAGAAGGTGTCTGGGTGCGCGGAGGAGGGGCGGGCGCGAGAGAAGTCCGGGCAGCCGGGAGAAGGAAGAGGGAGGGCGCGCGCACGCACGCGCACTCCTCTTCCTCTTCTTCTTGCAAGCCCCTGTTGCCATAGTGACGAGGTCTTCCTCGGGGAGTCGGCCGCCTCGAGGGGCGCGCAGGCTGAGCGCTGCCTGCTGGAGCCCCGGAGCAGGAGGCGACCCGGAAAGGAGGGGGCGAAACGCCGCTTCCCTCCCCCCCCCCCGAGAATTGACCCAAACAGGCGCCTCTTCGCCGTCGGCGCGGCTTTTTCTCCCCGCCAGCGCACAGCGTTGCGATCTTGGCTGTTCTATAATAAATGTGCCGTTTCCGAAGGGCGGCTTGTCTTATCTGGTCATGAACATGAAATAATATCGGGGTTCGGGCAAGGGAGAGGGCGGATGTGAGAACTCACACCTCGGATCTGGCGGGGGGGGGTCATCACACGCATACAGTATATATAACCAGCTACTGCGCCTTCAACAGCCCCTCGGCAGGGCAGAAATTCCGCAGAAGCATTTCCTCTCCATGCCAAAGCCGAATTTCTCCCCGTTCAGGTACTGGCTCCGTTAGAACGTGGCGCATTTTCCCATCCCACCCAAAAAGGGAATTCCGCAGCCAGATCAAAGGTTTAATCTCTCTCTCTCTTTTTTTTTAAACAGACCA